GAATCTTATCTTATCTTAAACTGTGTGTGTGACATAGTAACTAGGTTTCTGACGTAATACAACCATTATACAATACTCCGTTTGTGGCCCTGGGACCCTAAATTCGTTCCCCCCACCCCTTATATCAGCTATATAAGTATAAATTCTGTATGCATTCCTATACTAATAACGACACATTGGAGATTACGTCGGTGGGTCGTTGAGCACGAGCTCTTAATACCCCCCCCCCGGAACACACCCCACACGGGCCGACGCCGGGTCTCCCCGCTGCGGAAGCACGTCGGGAACCTCCCCCATGGCCAGGGGGACGTCCGGTTGACTAAAAACGCGCTGCGAGTAAAGCGTTAATACCCCCCCCCCCCGGAACACACCCCACACGGGCCGACGCCGGGTCTCCCCGCTGCGGAAGCACGTCGGGAACCTCCCCCATGGCCAGGGGGACGTCCGGTTGACTAAAAACGCGCTGCGAGTAAAGCGTTCGCGGTCCACTCTCCTTGGGTCTGAACGGCTTTACTTCATCTCCATGGAAAAGGTGTTGCGTTACCTCCCCGCAACCGTCCAGGGAGTTGTCCGGTCGGGACGTAAGCATTCCTATACAATTCATTCGATTGTTATAAAACTTTGGTGAATTGATATGTGCCCGCCCGAAAAGGTTTATGATTAAGTACAACTATTTTAAAACATTCCGTTTCGGACCAGTGGCCCTTACTTGGTTCTTTTTAAAAAAAATTTTTATATTAAATGAGATTTTTAACTATAATTTCAAAAAGAACTAATGCATTGGTGGATTGAATTTTAATCAAATACGAGTAGCAAAATTTTAATTTTTGTGTGACGTCATAATAAGTAGATTTCTAAATGAGTAAAACCATTTTACAATTTTCTGTTTGGGGTTGGGAACCCTAATTTTTTAAAAAAAAATTATATGAGCTATGTAAATATAATTTCAAACAGTGCTGCTGCATGAGTGGCTGGAATTTAATTAAATACAAACGGCGATATTTCCGTTTGTGTGTGACATAATTTAGTAAGTTTCTAAATTTGTAAAACGATTTTGCAATATTCACTTTTGGACCAGGGGCCCTAAATGAGTTGTTTTTTTCTCTCCCTAATATGAGCTATTGAAATATAATCTCCTTCACCAGTCACCTGATTGCGATAAAACGTTGGTGAGTTGTGCTGTGTACGCCGGTGAGTTGTGCTGTGTACGCCGGTGAGTTGTGCTGTGTACGCCGGTGAGTTGTGCTGTGTACGCCGGTGAGTTGTGCTGTGTACGCCGGTGAGTTGTGCTGTGTACGCCCGCAAAGGGTTTCTGAATAAATACAGCCATTTTAAAATAGTCCGTTTGGGGCCAGCCCTAATTTTTTTTTCTTTTATGAGTTATGCAAATATAATTTCAAACAGAGCTGTCACATGGGTGGATGAAATTGAATCAAAATACAAATTGCGACATTTCAGTTTGTATGTTACACAATAAGTAGGTTTCTGCATGAGTACATCCATTTTACAATATTCAGTTTGGGGCCGGGAGACCTATGTTTATTTATATAAACAATATAGACCCGGGATGACGGGCGGGTCTACCTGTGGAGTTTAGGGGTGACGGGGTTGACGGGCGGGTCTACCTGTGGAGTTTAGGGGTGACGGAGCAAATTGACTAAAAACAATAGAACGATTATTTCATTTTAAAATTAATCACGACGAAAGTGTCATTTTTTAAACAGTTTTAAAAAGAATAGTAACTCGGGCTTTATCCGATTACAATTAGTGGAATCTATTAAATATCGCTACGCTCGATATATGTGATGATCCGTATATTTAAGGCTAATCTTATTAAAGGCGTATAGTATTCGATTAAGAATATCTCACTGGCCGCTTCTGAGTATAAGCCGAAGTCTTACTTCTCGTTGTTCGCACTTATCGGTATTTTTATTCATTTTTATTGATTGATTGATTGATTTTGTTTTTTGTTGCAAATTTACAAATTTTTAGACTTACATAACATTGCATTAAAACACATTTACATCAAGATCAAGGAATACAATTCTAATAATATTTCTTGCCAAGTATCAAACGTACGCAGTCTATGATCTAATTATAGTTCATTATGAAAGCATTACTTTTATAGTAGGCATAGGCGTTAGGCATAGGCATTAATTATAAATTCTATGATGATATGAGCCTTTTAAAACATATTTTTATTGGCATAACTATAAATGTAATCGATTCCATGAATGTTGAGTTTTATACAAAATGAAAACTTAAAAGAATTTTTTTATTTACATTGAATGGCATACGCATTCACCGTCTTACTTAGATTATACAAGCGGGTTCTTGTAATTTATTTAGCGGCTTGCCCCCAATCCAAAACGTGGGTCTCACCCCCCTCCTTTGCCCACCCCCCCAACTCCCTCGCTGCGACACTCGACCAACAGGTAGTAAATGGTCTCATCTGCCTGGGGACGATGGTGACAGATGGCGGTCCCCTATGTGTAACGGGACTAAAACGAAATTTATTGATCTTTGCATTTAATCCATCTCCCAGAATTCTTTTTCAACAAGTCCCGCAACTTCAGCTACAGACATGTCTGCTCCAGTCGCTAAAGAGAATAAGCTCCCTTATGTGTTCCTGGGCAAGTCAGGAATGAAAGTGTCCAACATGTGTCTGGGGACCATGACATTTGGAGAATCTTTCGTAAGAGTCAAGTGTCTTAATTTTAATTTTTTTTAGAATTAAAAAACATATTTTATTTTAGCTGAGTTAAAAAACGCCAACAATATCGGAAGAAAATGTTTTTTGTTTTTTTTTTGTTTTTTTTAAAAATAAAGAATAAATAAAATAACAACATAGTTAACAAAAGAAATAATTAATAAATAATTAAAAAATTAAAAAAGACCAAATTTTATTTTGCCATGAAACTGTTATGGTTCGTCTGCAAAGATCAACGCTAAAAAAATTGTGATAAATAGCTTTTAATTTTTGTTTTTTAATGGCTACCTACATAGGTTTTAACCAGATCAACGGTAGCCTTTACATAAATTGTGCTAAGTAACGATTCATTTTTAAAAAAAAAATAATTAACAGCCACGCTGGTTTAAACAATGTAAAAGCAAAAATGCAAATGAAATTTTACAAAATTGAAACAAATTTACTGAAACAAAAGTTTAAAAATTCTCGTCGCTCAATTTATTAATTTTTTTTTTAGAAAATAGGTAAAATAAAGAAAAAATACAGTGGTAGTTTTCACAGTGATCCATTGAAACTGAACACAATTTCTCTTCTACTCCGTCCAGTACGGCACGCCAGGGCAGTGTGACGAGAGCACGGCCCATCAGATCATCAACCGTTACGTGGAGTGGGGAGGTAACTTCATCGACACGGCCGACATGTACGGCCGGGGAAACTCGGAGAAGATCATCGGGAAATGGCTGGAAAGGTGAGCAGCGCGTGGTGGTGAATGTGAATAACTTGTTGTCAAGTGTGGGTAACATGGTGCAAAGGTGAGTGACATGGAGTGAAGGCCAATGCCGTGTTGTAAAGGTGAGCAACGTGTGGTGGTGAATGTGAATAACTTGTTGTCAAGTGTGGGTAACATGGTGCAAAGGTGAGTGACATGGAGTGAAGGCCAATGCCGTGTTGTAAAGGTGAGCAACGTGTGGTGGTGAATGTGAATAACTTGTTGTCAAGTGTGGGTAACATGGTGCAAAGGTGAGTGACATGGAGTGAAGGCCAATGCCGTGTTGTAAAGGTGAGCAACGTGTGGTGGTGAATGTGAATAACTTGTTGTCAAGTGTGGGTAACATGGTGCAAAGGTGAGTGACATGGAGTGAAGGCCAATGCCGTGTTGTAAAGGTGAGCAACGTGTGGTGGTGAATGTGAATAACTTGTTGTCAAGTGTGGGTAACATGGTGCAAAGGTGAGTGACATGGAGTGAAGGCCAATGCCGTGTTGTAAAGGTGAGCAACACGTTGTAGAGGTGGGTGAAATGTTGTAGGGGTGAATAAAATGCTGGGAAGGTGAGTAACATGTTGTAAAGGTGAGTAGCTCGTTGTAAAGGTGGACGACATGTAGTGGTGAAAAAAAAATGTTGGAAAGATGAGTAAAATGTTGTAAAGGTGAGTGGTTCGCTGTAAAGGTGGACGACATGCAGTGGTGAAAAAAATGTTGTAGAGATGAGAAACTTGTTGTAAAGGTGAGTAGCTCGTTGTAAAGGTGAGTAGCTCGTTGTAAAGGTGAGTAGCTCGTTGTAAAGAAACGATAAACAGATTAACTGGTAGTCTCAAGACTCCTTGCTGTTTGGGAAACAATTTGCAGGGTCGGACTCAAGCTGATTTTCATAGATGAATTTGTTACCGTCTTAGTTCACTTGGTAACACACGTGTGACATATAGGCCATGCTGTGTTGACCTCATTTTCATGGTTTAAACATCTTTGTCTTTGTCAGAAATGTTACTTGCACACTTGACCTAATTTTTCTTGTCTAAGTGTACATCTGTCTACCTAAACTACAATACTTTTAGGTATCACCACGTGTACATCCGAAGTATATACATGAGGGGGGTGAACGAGGGGGGGGGCCTTGAACATACCTTGGAACCAGTGGCGCAGCAAGGGGCTGGGGAGATTGGCCTGCATGAGGCGGCATTTTTTCCCCCTTTATATTAAGGGGTGTCGTTTTCAGCCAACTGCGGGGGTTGCCCTAGCGACGCCACCGAGTGGAATCTTACTGTTAGCTGACCGCCGCTTTTCATCAGGTTTGATTTGCCGTCAAACAATCCTCCTGCGTAGACGCCCCTGGTGCGTCCTACACGCGGGTAATTATGGTACAGGTGCAACATCGCTTCGATTTCCAATTTTCTTTTAGAGTAAATGACTCCCAGGAACCGATTGCCTGAGAAAAAAAAACATACGTCTGTAACTTATCTTTATATTAAATAAGACATAAAAGATGGTAGTCTTCGCGGAAGGAAACACAACAGGTCTAACGTCTGCTTCCCCCAGGCAGGAGAGAGAGAATTACGTCATCGCAACCAAAGTGCGGTTCAGCATGGGCGTGGAGCAAAACGTGAACAACGTCGGCCTCAGCAGACGACACATCACGGCCAGCATCGACAAGAGCCTAGACCGGCTACACACGAATTATGTGGATCTTTACCAGGTAGAATCAGTTGGTGAGAGGGAATATTGTGTCCTTAACAGGTTATGTTCATTTGGTGGGAGGCAAGATGTGTCCTTAGCAAATAGGTTCAGTTGGTGGGAGGGAAGATTGTGTCCCCAACAGGTAGATTGAGATGATGTGAGGGAAGACTGTTTACATAACTGGTAGTTTCAGTTGGTGGGAGGGAAGATTGTGTCCCCAACAGGTAGATTGTGATGATGTGAGGGAAGACTGTTTACATAACTGGTAGTTTCAGTTGGTGGGAGGGAAGATTTTGTCCCTAACAGGTAGTTTCAGATTATGTCCTTAACAGGTGGGTTCATTTTGTTGGATGGAATATTTGTGTCCCCAGCCAGTACGTTCAGACGGCGTGATGTAATATTGTTTACTTAACCATTAGTTGCAGTTGATGAGTGGAAGGTTGCAGTAGTTATGGTGGTGGTGATCAGTAAGAAGGACAGTTTAATGTGTCATACACACGCAGTTTAGAATAAAAGCCAATGACCATGCCGCACATGGTTTACATCCATTCCTCAGACGCACGGGTTTGACGACGCCACCCCGATTGAAGAAACGCTGCGCACGCTGGACGATTTGGTGCGCTCCGGGAAAGTCCGTTACGTCGGTGTCAGTAATGTGACCGGCTGGCAGCTACAGAGACTTGTGGATACGACAGAAAGACTCGGCTTTAACCCAATCGTCAGTCTGCAGGTATGAATTAGATATGAAGGTATGGGTGAGGTCTGCAGATATGATTTAGATATGAAGGTATAGGTGAGGTGTGCAGGTATGAATTAGATATGAAGGTATAGGTGAGGTCTGCAGTTATGAAGTATATATGAACGTATGGGGTAGGTCTGCAGGCATGAGTTAGATATGAAGGTATGGGTGAGGTCTGCAGGTATGAATTAGATATGAAGGTATAGATGAGGTCTGCAGGTATGATTTAAATATGAAGGTATGGGTGAGGTCTGCTGGTATGATTTAGATATGAAGATATAAGAGTTAGGTCTATAGGTATGAATTAGATATGAAGGTATAGATGAGGTGTGCAGGTATGAAGTAGATATGAAGGTATAGATGAGGTTTGCAGGTATGAAGTAGATATGAAGGTATAGATGAGGTGTGCAGGTATGAATTAGATATGAAGGTATAGATGAGGTGTGCAGGTATGAAGTAGATATGAAGGTATAGATGAGGTTTGCAGGTATGAAGTAGATATGAAGGTATAGATGAGGTCTGCAGGTATAAAGTAGATATGAAGGTATGGGGTAGGTCTGCAGAAATTAGTTATAGATATGAAGGTGTGGTTGAGGTCTGAAGGAATGAAGTAGATATGAAGGTATGGGTGAGGTCTACAGGCATGAGTTAGATATGAAGATATGGGTGAGGTCTGCAGGTATGATTTATGTTCACTTCTCGTGATCAAATATCCGTCAAATTTTCTTCCAATTTCTTTTTGAATGCACTATTTAGTAAAATAAAATTTGATCGTTTGATCTGAAATATAGTAATGAGAATATGGGCTAAGTCTCTAAGGGCTATGTCTGTATGTATGGGCTATGTCTGTAGAAATGGGCTATGTCTCTAGGTATTGGCTATGCACTTTAGGTATGGGCCATGTCTCTAGGTATTGGCTAGGTATGTATGCCTGGGCTATGTCTGCATGTATGAGTGAGTTTTGCAGTTAGGAGTTAGGTCTGCAAGTATGAAGGTAAAAGTTACGTCTGTAGGTAACTTTTAGGTATGAAAGCATGGGCTGGGCCTGCAGGTATGAGCTGTACAGGTAAGAGTTATGTAGGCATGGGCTAGGCATGCAGGTACGATTTAGAATAAGGTATGGGTTATGTCTGCAGGTTTTTTTTAAATTACGCCAGTAAACGGGCTAGGATATATTGTGAAGATAACAGACAGTTACATTAGGTTTGCAGGTATGACTCCACCCTACCCTCCCTCGTCTTACTTTTAAGCGCTTTATTAATTTATATATACATATATATATATATATATATATAT